CAAACTGGTTTGAGGGTTGGACCTCTAAATTTTTTTACGGGTTTGAGGGTTTAGAGGTTCTAGTCTACGGCGTTTTTTCCGCGAAAATTGTAAAAAAGCAGTTATTTTTAGAGGTTTGAAGGTTTGAGGTTCTACTAGTAATGCTCTAAGAATGCTTGATTGGACCAAGCGCTAACTCATACATTTTTATACGTGTATATAAAAAAAAACACTAGCTGCCATATAGACGTGACGACATCCACGAGTGAAGATTCGCCAACATGCGGCGTGGCGAGCAATCTCCAAATCATTTCAGAGGAGAAGATGTTGGCGATCAATTCAGACCATCATCTGAAAATGACAGGCAAAAAAATGACCGCCCGGTAATGCTGCACAATTGGTGCATATACTGTTGCATGTTGGCTGACACATCAAGAATTGTCGACTCCCGCGACGTGACGTTCTCAACCCGTTCTGCTGCCCTGCTTGACATGCGTTTGACATCACACGATCCTGTGCACGTAAAGAGAACTACGAGGAATTTACTAGACGCTTTTCCTAGACCTAGAATAGGCGCGAGCCATATATCGTGGAAGGATCCTAGACTACAGACTCAACTTTTTCTTTCCAGGCAAAAAAGAAAACACTCGACCTTTTCTGGTAGCTTTGCAATGCTGAGTGTTGGAGTATAATGTTCGGCACTCTTCCATAATTTAAGCTTTGAATGAATTGATTGGTGTATGCAGTTCTACACTGAGGTCAGCTCGAATTAGAATTCAAACAGTAATTGTTGGCTCCCAACCTCTATGTAGGTTTTTATTTTGATTTTTTTGAATACATTGACCAGTTTTGAAGAAATTAAAAAACATCTTATACGCTGGTGTGTGAATACAATATGTATGAGCAAAAGAGTAAAAAAACAGGTTTATTTGCGTGCTGCACAGAGATAAACAAAATGTGATGAATATAAATTGTTAATGGTACTACTACCCGGCCGTTGGTTATTTTAGATCCTTTTTTTTTTGCGAGTGAGTTATTTTTTATGAACACAACTAATTTTAGGAATATTTGTACTTATATACAGGCTACATTCAAAAGTATTTTTCCAATCCATCGTCATTATAGTGCATTCCCACCCAACATGCAAAGGCGTGTGGCTGGGCCAAGCAGCCCAGGCCATGGCAGCCCAGCCTGTATTTTAGAGGGTACTAACACATTTGGCACATAATTTAGAGGGTATCACATGGTATTAACGAGTAGTTTTTTTTCTTTAGCTAGAGGTTAATTTATTTATTTTGCGAAAAAGCTACTCCCTCCGTTCCTAAATACTTGTCTTTCTAGAGATTTCAACAAGTGACTACATACGGCGAAAAATGAGTGAATCTACACTTTAAAATATGTCTACATACATCCGTATGTTGAGTCCATTTAAAATGCCTAGAAAGACAAGTATTTGGGAACGGAGGGAGTAGAAGTTAATTCGGTGGTTGTACATTTTTGAAATTATCCGCAACTTTAGGATTAAGGGTTAGAGATATGCATTTTCCAAGTGCACATTTCTAGACCCAAAGTTGCACAAAATTTGTGCTTCTCGGCTAGGCTTGATGCTCGGTAGAAGTAACAAATACTGATAATAATACTCCTAGATGCTTAGAAGTTCGACCAAAAAATGTATAAGCTTTTTTTAGATCGCTTGTAAATGTTTTTTAAAGAATTGCTTGTAAATGATTAGCATGTCTTATTTGCGCAGGGCGGCATCTTGCTCGGACCTTCGGCCCTGGGCCGGTTGGGCCCCTTTCGCCGCACGATCTTCCCGGAGTGGAGCACCCCCGCGCTAGACACTGTGTCGGGCCTCGGCCTGCTCCTCTTCCTCTTCCTGGTCGGCCTCGAGCTCGACTTCCGCGCCGTTCGTCGCGTGGGACCCCGCAGCGTGGCCATCGCAGCCGCCGGCATCGTGCCTCCGCTGCTCGCCGCCGCCGGCATCGTGCCGCTCCTCGACCTCGCCATCCCGGCGCCCCGCCAAGCCTCATACCTCTCGCTGTGCGTGTTCCTCGGCGCGGCGCTCTCGGTGACCGCTCTCCCCGTGCTCGCCTGCATCCTCAAGGAGCTCGGCCTCCTCGGAGTGCCCTTCGTCGAGACCGCCATGGCCGCCGCCTCGGTGAACGACGTCTTCGCGTGGACGCTCCTTGCTCTCGCTCTCGCCGTGTCCGGCGGTGGCCGCGAGCCGAAGGGACCCCCTCTCGCGCCGGTCTACATCCTCTCGTCGGGCGCCGTCTTCGTGGCGTTCACGTTCTTCGCGCTCCGCCCTCTCATGGCGCGGCTGGCGCGCCGCACAGGCCCCTGCAGCTCGGACAGCAACCTGACCTGCTCATGCGCCGTCGCGTGCGCGCTCCTAGCGGGCGCCGTGACCGACGCCATCGGCGTGCACCCCGTCTTCGGCGCGTTCGTGTTCGGGCTGGCCATGCCCCGTGAGGAGGGCTTCGCGGAGCGCATCGGCGAGAAGGTGGCGCCGCTGGTGTCCGGGCTGATGCTGCCGCTCTACTTCGCCACGAGCGGACTGCATACGAATGTGGACAACGTCCAGGGCGTGGCCGCGTGGGGGATGGTGGCGCTCGTGGTGGCCGTGGCCGTGGTGGGGAAGTTCGCCGGGACGTTCGCGGTGGCGGTCGCCGGGACAGGCATGGCCAGGCGCGAGGCGGCCGCCCTCGGCGTGGCCATGAGCGCCAAGGGGCTAGTGGAGCTCATCGTGCTCAACATCGGCAAGGAGAAGAAGGTGAGTACTACTACTTTGTATACACACGGACGTTGTAAATGTAATTATCAGTTGTTACGTACGGGGACTCACGGGCTCATGTGCGTGCAGGTGCTGGACGACACGACGTTCGCCATCTTCGTGATCATGGCACTGACAACCACGGTGATCGCGACGCCGCTCATGACGGCGCTCTACCGGCATCAGTCGACGGCCACCACGCCGGAGGTCGACGGGATGGAGCTCAAAGGAGGCGACGCTTGCCCGGCATAAACTCAGGGATTATCGATCGGTTATACTCCATACTTTGGCAGTGATACTCGCTGCGAAATATGCGCAGTGAATCGTCTGGTTCGTGTGTTCAACTGTTCATGCATGTACTGAAGTAGGAGAGCTACGAGGTCATGCAGGCAGGTGCTGCTCTGTTTTCTTCTTCCTGTTGTGGCTATCAGATATCCCTGAGCGATAGCCATGTGCCCTAGCACTACCAAGCTTCGCAATATCATTTTGGGTTTACCCACGTAATGTTATTAATTAACTCTGAATGTTATCACCCTTCGGTCTTGTTCTAATACCAGAAGGCTAGGACAGTGGCAAGTTGTGACATCTAAATAACAAATGAATGACATAAGATTCAGGTAACATCATCACCCAAAAAAAACTGATTAGAGTGCATTTTCACCCGGAAGAGCTTTTCATCAGAGTGTTGATCAGGACATGTTTCTGCAACTATAGATTCATTTTACTCCCTCCGTCTCAGTTTACAAGTCCTACGTGTATACCTAGGTTGTCAATTTTATCATCCTAATATAAACTATAGAACACAAAATTTATGTCTTTTGAAAATAGAACATCTGAAATTTATATTGATATATTTTTTGTAATATATGACTTGTATTAGATTGGTCAAATTGACGACCTAGGGGTACGCGCACGCCCTGTAAACTGAAAGAGAGGGAGTACTGTTCAAGAAAAACAAGTCCTTTTACTACAGAGGAAATAAAAAATGTGATCAATTTCATGCCCAATGAGAAAACTCATGGGCCTCGTCGGTTTAATACTGAGTCTACCAAGGCATGGTCGAGCATAATTGGGGCTGATGGTATTCAGCTGGTTCAGTTCAGGACTTCTTTGGAGGAAAGCTGGCGGTTCAATGAATTAATTCTTCCAGTTAGAGTTGTGACCGAGTGCGGTATTGTAGCGGTGTCATGGGGATGAGCGCCTATAGTCAAGCCTCGGGGATGTAGCCATATTGGTGAACCTCGTTAACAAATCTCAATGTCGTGCTCGTGTGATTGCTTGGTCCTCGGATGATCGACTATGCGCCTCGGATTTATTCTAACACTTCCTTCATCACTCTGATTCCCAAAGTGGCCGCTCCTCTTTCTCCGAATGATTTCCGTTCCATCTCTTTGCTCAGTAGCACTCTCAGAATCATTACCAACTCTTGGCTAACAGGCTTTAAGAGATGATTCTCAACTTAGTGATGCAACTGAATCAATATGGTTTCCTTAAGGAGATGTCCATTCCCGAAAAAAGGCTTTCGCCCCACTTTATATATAAAGCAAACCGCCCAAGCCAAGCATCTAAAAAAGGTTCACACCACACACACACACGAAGTGTCAACACAAACAAAGAGTACTGAAAGGGGTTAATGCTGAGGGCACAGCTCAACAAGCCCTGAAAATAGAAAAAAAAAACACAAGGCACAACAAGCAAGAACCCAAGGGGCGGGTCAAGGATCCAGCTCCTCAGGAAGGCCGCAGGCCTAGTCGGGCTCCAGGGGTGGGGGCGGCAGAGGAGGCACCACACGGAAGGCCATCAAAGGTCGGCGAGGAGGGTGTCGATGGCGTCCCGATCCTGGGGGCGGCTAAGCGACCGCCAAAGCTGCAAGTAACCTCACAATTTGAAGATCGCGTCAGTCGCACGTCGAAGAGGCGTTCTTTGTATGACACACTTATTGCGGATGGTTGAAAGCGCCCAGGCAAGAACCCTAATGCACAACCACCTAATGTGGCGGCGGCGGGGGGCGGAGGCGTGGATTTCCGCCAGCAAGTCCAGGAAGTTGGTATTAGACCAACGACGGCTGACCGTATCGCGGAAGCAGGTCCACAGGAATTGGGTCGTAACGCAGGAGAAGAAGATGTGGTTGGCGTACTTCGTCGTGCCACAAAGGGGGCACATCCCATCTCCCGGGCCATTGCGCTTGAGGACCTCAACCCCAGAAGGGAGGCAGCCACGGATCCACTTCCACATAAAGATCCGGATCTTCAGCGATAGGCGGATGTCCCAAATCAGGCTAAACGGCTCAAGAGCCGAGGAGGGGGCAATGGCCGGATATAAGGACTTCGTGGAGAAACGTCCAGAGGGATCCAAATGCCATGACACGGAGTCGGGCACGCCATCCATGTCTAACGGTTGTAGAGCGATGAACTGGAGGAGGGTACGGTATCCCAAGCGTCCACCTCGAGAGGGCCGAAGGGGCGACGGAAAACGAGCCGCCCTAAGTCAATAAAGGCCATCTCAATGGAGACCCGAGGGTCAACCGCGATGGAGAATAATTCTGGGAAACGAGTGGCAAGGGGGTAGTCCCCCAACCAACGGTCGAACCAGAACAACATCGCGGATCCGAAGCCCACCAAGATGGAGGTACCAATTCGTAGGATAGGTAGGAGCTGAATCACTGCCTGCCAAAACGGGGTTCCGCCGATGCGCTGGCAGAAGGCGAGGGGTTGACCACGGAGGTATTTATTTTAAATGATGGTTAACCAAAGTCCCTCCTCCCCATTAGCGACCCTCCAGAGCCTGCGTGTCAGGAGAGCGATGTTCATGCACCTAGAGGACAGGATCCCAAGGTCACCCTGGTCTTTGGGTTTGCAGATGTCAGGCCAACTCACCATTTGGTATTTTTGTTTCTCCCCCTTGCCAGCCTAGAAGAACGGGGACTAGTATTTGGCGATCTCCCGATGAAGGGTCTCATGTAAGCTATAGAAGCTGTTGAGGAACCATAGGAGGCTGGACAACGAGGAGTTAAGAGCATCTCCAATAGTCGCGCTATATAAGCGTCGCGCTGGAAATTTTGTGTTTTTTGCGCGTGCAGCATCTCTGGGCGCTCCAGCGGAGGCGCAAAAACACGCGTCCGGCATAAGTAGTTTAGCGCGTGGGTCAAAACGGCATCGCGCGCTGCTTATTTCGTGCGTCCGCTTCCGCGCACCGCACACTCGAGCGCCCGCGCCGCACCCTCTTCGCCACGCCCGCGCCGGCAGCGGCGAATTCGCCCGATGGACGGATGCGCCGACATCCCCCTCACCCCTTCCTACACCCACGACCCCTCCTCCTCTGCCGCCGCAAACCCTAGCGCGGGGAGCTTTGGCTTCGCCTCTGCCGGTGCTCCTCCAAGCACCGGTATCACGCGCGGCCTTTTCATGACGCCACAGACGACCTCGGCGGCGGGTGGTGTCACGCCGGCACCCGCCGTGAAGCCATGTGCCCCCCTCTCGAAGCTCCCAAATGCGGCACGGACGAAGGCGGGCAAGGTGTCCGGGAAGAAGAACATGGCGGCCGACGGCTCCTCTAGGCGGCCGAAGAAGAAGCTTGCAGGTCGTGTGACGGATGCGGCGGCGACCGAAGCGCCGACGAGCTCACTTGTTGCGCCGGCGGCCAATGCACACAAGGTGTTTGATGAAATGCCCACAAGGTAAAATTTCGTCCACTTTTTGTAGTTGTTGTTTTTTGAATGCACACATAATTTAGAGGGTATTACATGGTATTAACGAGTAGTTTTTTTTTTCTTTAGCTAGAGGTTAATTTATTTATTTTGCGAAAAAGCTAGAGGTTAATTCGGTGGTTGTACATTTTTTAAATTATCCGCAACTTTAGGATTAAGGGTTAGAGATATGCATTTTCCAAGTGCACATTTCTAGACCCAAAATTGCACAAAATTTGTGCTTCTCGGCTAGGCTTGATACTAGCTAGAAGTAACAAATACTGGTAACACTCCTAGATGCTTAGAAGTTCGACCAAAAAATATATAAGCTTTTTTTAGATCGCTTGTAAATGTTTTTTTATAATTGCTTTTTTAAGATCATTTTTGAGCAGTTTTTCTAAAATTCATCTAGATGAAATATAATTTGGTCTCACATTTTACATGGTACTCCCTTTTTTGAGAATTGCTTGTAAATGCTTTGCATGTCTAATTTGCGCAGGGCGGCATCTTGCTCGGACCTTCGGCCCTGGGCCGGTGGGGCGCCTTCCGCCGCACGATGTTCCCGGAGTGGAGCACCCCCGCGCTAGACACCGTGTCGGGCCTCGGCCTGCTCCTCTTCCTCTTCCTGGTCGGCCTCGAGCTCGACTTCCGCGCCGTTCGCCGCATGGGGTCCCGCAGCGTGGCCATCGCAGCGGCCGGCATTGTGCCTCCGCTGCTCGCCGTCGCCGGCATCGTGCCGCTCCTCGACCTCGCCATCCCGGCGCCCCGCCAAGCCTCATACCTCTCGCTGTGCGTGTTCCTCGGCGCCGCGCTCTCGGTGACCGCTCTCCCCGTGCTCGCCTGCATCCTCAAGGAGCTCGGCCTACTCGGAGTGCCCTTCGGCGAGACCGCCATGGCTGCCGCCGCCGTGAACGACGTCTTCGCGTGGACGCTCCTCGCCCTCGCTCTCGCCGTGTCCGGCGGTGGCCGCGAGCCGAAGGGCTCCCCTCTCGCGCCGGTCTACATCCTCTCGTCGGGCGCCGTCTTCGTGGCGTTCACGTTCTTCGCGCTCCGCCCTCTCATGGCGCGCCTGGCGCGCCGCGCAGGCCCCTGCAGCTCGGACGGCAACCTGGCCTGCTCATGCGCCGTCGCGTGCGCGCTCCTAGCGGGCGCCGTGACCGACGCCATCGGCGTGCACCCCGTGTTCGGCGCGTTCGTGTTTGGGCTGGCCATGCCCCGGGTGGACGGCGTCGCGGAGCGCGTCGGCGAGAAGGTGACGCCGCTGGTATCCGGTATCCGGGTTGATGCTGCCGCTCTACTTCGCCACGAGCGGACT